GGTGGCTGTGCTTTGCTATGGCCCCAAGTCCTGGTATCGGGCGAGCAGGATGTGAGGCCCTCCAAGTTTTGATGTTCCCACCCCGTATCAGATTCAAACATATTAAAATACACACACTTCTCACCATAAATATCATGTTGGCTATAAACTTTTGAAGCGGCTTGAATACGTTTAATAAATCTGATCCTCGGAATAGATTATGCCTTTGGTTCATACGATTTAAACTTGATTGCATCTATATATAACTATATCATAGTTGAACTGAGTTGCGGTAAGCTGTTAAATAGATATTCATGAAGTACAATTTTGAGATTTTCTTTTTGTATTTTGGAGCCAACAGATACATGACAAAATTTTAGGCCCTCTGAAAGCTCACAGGCCCTATGCCCCAAGGCCAGTGGACAAAATGGCTGGAACATCCAGAAGGTGCCACGCGAGGGTCAGCCAGGGGAGGCACCAAGGCAGAAGAGAATAGATCTCACTCACGAGGGTAAATCCACTCTGCTCAGGAGCTGCTTCCTGAAGGAGCCCAGCGCTGGAAGCCCAGGGTGGAGGGAGGAGGCTCAACTCCTCTGATGACCCATGAGCTGACCCCGTGAGCCTGTGGCCGGACCAGTCCCCCTCCAGCAGCCCAGCCGGATGGATAGGGTCAGAATGGCCCACCCACAGCCTCCAACCTGTTTTCTGGGCCGTGCTGGGACTTGCAGCAAGCCAGATGCCAGCACAGGCTGCACCCCAGCTTCCTGCTCGTTAGGGGAGCCAAGCGCTGAGCTCAGGGCGAACGTCTGGTCTCAGTCAATACCTCTGGCAGCTAGGCTGGGGGCTGTTGTCGGCCCGGCCCTCCCACGCTCACTGCTACCAGACCTCTATGGGGGGCCCGGGCAGGCTCCTTAGAGGTGCTGAACACAGATCACCAACCTGGCACCATGTGTGCACACACACACCCCGAATGTGTGTAGGGGAGGGGCCACCACACACACACACACACACACACACCCGCCCCCGCCTCTAGTCAGGAGGGGAGAAAAGACCTCCCCTCCACACGCACACCAAGCAAGTCTCTCTCAAAAACCAGGATGGAAGAGCCTGTCTTCCACTAGGACACCTGGTGGTGGCTGTTGAGGTCCCACCCAGAACCAGGGCAAATCCACCTTGACTTCTCCAGGGACCTCATGAAGTGGACGCATACAGCCCTTGTCCTTCTGTGACTGGCTGACTTCACTTACCACAGTGTCCCAGGTCCCTCCATGTTGCTGCACGTGTCAGAACAGTTCTCTCCTTTTAAAAGTTGTTTTGTTTTGTTTTTTCAAATCGACGATATATTTATACGATTCCGAAGTCGAAGGTCACCGAAGGGCTCGCAGTGTCTCGTGCTCCCCGTGTCCCCTCCACACGGTTCCCCTCTCAGGAAACGGCCGGCACCGTCCACTTCCGGCGGGGTCGCCCTTTTCATTCTGTTTCTCGCCGTGGTCGGCCTTTTTTTCCCGCTCTTTTCAGCCTCCCTGGAGATCCTTCCATTCTCGGTTCAGATTTTCCTCTCCTGGTTTTTCAGCGGCAGGCGTTTCTTGAGATGGGCACGGTAACTCACTGGACAAGTCCTCATGCGGGGCTGGTTTAGAACCTGTGCTCTCAGCCGCGGGAAGGCGCCTCCGAGCCTCCGAATCTGACACGATGCGAAGGCCTCATTCATCGATTCATGCCACACGATTCCTGTGTAGCAGCCATTACGTAAAGAATCGCAAAACTAAAACACCGTAGGGTGGGCACATAAGGAAGGGAATAGAGGCTCACGGTGAGAGTGATCGCTGACGGGAACTGCAGGTCATGTCCCCAGCCCTGTCAAGCCTTCTCTAGGTCAGGAAATAGCACTCCATGCACCCAGCTGCCTCGCAGGAAACCCACTGGACTCGTCCTGAGGCCTCCCCCTCTCCCACCCACCGCCATCTCTCCAACCTCCTGTGCATGTGCCTCAGATCCTCACCCCGCTGCCATCGGTTGGTCTTAAGCCCACCATCCCTTCCGCTGAGCTGCTCTGTCACCCCCATCCCACCTCATCCCGTCTCAGAGTACCCAGCAGCTGGTGGCAAGTGTTTCTCAAAGGGGCTCCAGGTGGTGCCTCTCCATGTCTACCCCAATTTCCAACTCCTAGCACATAATAGGTGCTTAGGATCTGTTGAATGTGCTTGGCACATAATAGGTGCTTAGGATCTGTTGAATGAATGAATGAACATGTGGTGAAATCTGGAAGTACCAGTAGGATTTGGAGAAGCAGATAAGGCAGGAGATGTTTTCCAGGCACAAGGCATCGCTTGAGGACAAGTAGAAACGCATGAAGAAAAACATGGAATGTTCCCGAATCCACAAACACGAAGGCAGGGTGAGATCACCGTGTGGGGTAGCGGAGGAGTGAGGCTCACATGGTCAGCCAAGGCCCGCAGACGCGGGTCCTGTAAATCACAGGTGGATTTTACCCCATCGGCCAAAGGAAGCTTTAAACAGGTTTTGAGAAGGCAAATGATATGACCTGTGGGTTTTAGAAAGATCTAAAGATGGCCTTGCTCAGGACGGCAGCAGAGGGCAGGCGGGGAGGCGGGAGGCAGCTCGGGACTTCACTCTGACCAGGCCGGGCCTGTGCTCCAGGCTCGGGCGTTGCGAGAAAAGGAACGGCCATCGGAAGTGGTGAGAAGGAGGCCAGGGCCGAGGCCTGGAACACTGAGGGCGTAAGTGCAGTCAGTAAAGAACAAACATCTGAAGAACAAGAAGGAAGGTCAGCGAGGGAAATGGGAAAGGAGAGAGCCGTGGGAATGTGGGAGGGCAAACCGCTCAAGAGGAAATGTCAAGAGGGTCAGCGAGATGATGATGGCCGCAGGTGCCCCGGGCCAGGCCATCCGGGAGGTGGGGCGGGGACAGATTCCACGGAAACAGGCCCAGCCCAGAGAGGCACACTCCCCAGCCTGCCTGGGGCTTGGGTTTCTGGAGAAGTCCTTTAGCGGTCAACGTGCCTCCATTCGGGGTCTCCCCTGAGTCTGACCACAGTGCTGCCCTGGATCATGCGACTCTCAAGACTGGAGGGCCAGCGGCCTTCCCTGGAGGGGGGCCGCGGAGGGAGCCCGAAGGAGTATCGGGGGTCCCAAGTCCTAGTCTTCTCGTTGCCATGTGGCGGGCCATGGGCCTGAGTTTCTCCTGAGGTGACGGATCCAGGTGGGCTCTACGGTTGTTTCTACTGGTCTGGACGGCCCCAGTGTTCAAGCCCAGAGTGGCACAGGTGGCCAGGTCTCCACGCCCTCTGACTCAGGTCCACATACCTGGCTCTCCCTCCCACCCAAGTGGCCCATTGTGTGGGCTCAGTTTCCGTGGGAATAGAAACTGGGCTGGGAAAAGAGAATATTTGCTTTTTCCACCAAGCTGATGCCCAAGTAAATAATGTGGTGCTGTAAGTGGCGACCTTTCCCACCCCCTCCCTCTGGGGATAGCCTGGATCCTATAAAAAGGCACTCAATGGGCACTTGATGGGCACATCTCACACAAGACCACGAAACCACACCAGGGCCAGAGCCTCACTCAACTCACCAGCCTGCTGCCATCATGAAACCGGCTATCGCCCTCGCCCTGGTCACCCTGGCTCTCTGCTGCAGCCCTGGTGAGTGCCCCTCCTCCAGGCCAGGCTCGGGGACTCGCCCTGCCACCCACTTCTTGCTTAGGAGAGGGGCAGCTGTTTGTGCCCTCTGCATAGATGCTGATGCCTGGTCAGGAAGCCAGGAGACCCCTGAGGCTGTGGGGAAACTTGGAAAAAAAAAAAAACCCATCTCCGATATCCAACACCCTCAGAATTCCAGGGGATGAAATAGATGGGAGGGAGGGATAGAGGGGACCCACATAAACGCGTGTCGGCGGTGAGCAGCCGACAGAAGACGAATAACCAGCTCCCCAAGCCCAGTCTTAGACAGACCCCAAGGTGCCAAGCCTCCAGGTTTGGGGTCTCCGCCCGACTCTGGCAGCTAAAGGGGCTGGAAGCAACTGCAGAACCTCATGTCTCCAAGAGAAACGCAACCCAAGGCAAGCTCTCCCTTTCTGGGCAGAGAGGAATATTCTAGAAAGGGATCTTCCTTTTGGGAAACTGCCAACCCAGAGTGGGGTTTTCTAAACATTTTTGTCCTCTGCACAAGGATTAGGAGTCTCTGAACCGTTGCAGATGTCACTAAGAGGGAAGGAGGGAAGCGGGGTGAGGGAGAGACAAACAGACAGACAGACGGAGACAGACAGACAGAGAGACAGAGACAGAGAGAGAGAGACGAGAGAGAGAGAGACAGAGAGACAGAGAGAGGAGGAAGGTGGATGACACCTCCCTTCGAGCCCACTGATCTCTTGGGAACTTTCTAAACAGAGACAGAGAGAGAGAGAGACAGAGAGAGAGAGACGAGAGAGAGGAGGAAGGTAGATGACACCTCCCTATGAGCCCACTGATCTCTTGGGAACTTTTTACATTCCTAACTATTTTTCAATCTGTATCAGCCTCTTCTACTCCTTTTAATAAACAAACAAAAGTTTTTGAACGAATTCTAATGAATTCACTTTGAAAATTTCATAATACCCACAGAGATAAGTTTTATGACCCTGGAGGGTGACGGGGGAGTTAGAAAACCCAAACCGAGAGCACGTGGGAACAACTATTTGTGTAGGGACCTTTGTTTTAAAGGAGAAATAACATTTAGGACTGAAATGTACATGAACTAGAAGACCTCAGCGCTGCGTGTAGATGGGACTGCTCAGTAAGACAGGGCTGGACTCTGTTGAGAGGTGGATCCAGGATGCGTTCGCGTGTTGGAGTGTGCGCATCTAACAACAACGAGATGGCTAATGTTTAGTTAAAGCCCTTACCTCGCTGTTCTGAAACCCTATTACATATTCTCTCTTTCATTCTTACGACAACCCTGTGAAGTGGGGTGCTATCCCCCGTTTTACAGATGAGAAAACTCAACTACAGAAGGATACAGTAACTGGCCCGATGATGCAGTTAGCTGCCAAGCAGGGAATCTAAGTTCTGGAGACAGTTTCACTTGGACTGGTCACTTTGGGTGGGGCCTGCAGTCCAGGCAGAAAAGCCCAATTTGCACAATGAGGCAGAGAATTCAAAGATGGGGATTTGAGACTCTTTGGGAAGGTGAGGCACGCAGGAAGTAGAAAATGACTCCTCCCACACCACACACACACACACACACACACACACACACACACACACACACCTCTGTGTTCCTGGGGGCAGGAACACAACCTGGGGCGAGCTCCAGGTGAAGGGAACACAGCAGGGCAAGGAATAGACGCAAGAAGCATGTCTGTCTGCAGGTGAGTGTGCCACAGACCCGGCGCTCACGCCTCTTCCAGCCGGGATCGAGGGCTCTGTCTTGGCTGGTACAAGTGGTGCTTCCTGCCAAAGCCTGACTCTGCCAGCCGCCCCCCCATGACAAGTGGCTCAGACCATCACTAACCAATGGCCTCTTCCAGCCCCCACACTGCATCAAAAATCAGATCAGCTGCTTCTGTTATCAGTACTCTGCTCAGAACCCTAACAGAAAGAACAAGTGGCATTTTGCCCCACCCCAACCCAGGAAGCGCAAGGAAGGCTCAGGCAAGCCACCAAAATCTGGCTGCAACCCAGGAAGTATCCGCAAAGCACCAACAAGCCAACGGCTTGGCGCAACACCAGATTTCACAGTCTATCCTATCGATGAAAAGGCTGCTATCTCTTGCTGACAGGTCTGGCTCTTTGCATCTGGGGCAGGCCCAGCCACGGGGCTGGCCAGCTTGGAAAAGGGCCTAGGCACACGTGCTTTCTCTGTTCTGTGCTCCAGCTTCTGCAGAGATCTGCTCGAGCTTTCTCGATGTCGTTAAAACCCTCATCGTGGGCACACCTTCGAGTTATGAGACTGCGGTTGACGTTTTCAGCCCCGATGCAGACATGAAAGTTGCAACGAACGGGCTGAAGAAGCTGGTAGACTCGATCCCCGAGAACAAGAAGGACAGCATCATGAGGCTCATGGTACGTGGCGTCTCTCCTCACGCCGCTGGGCGGCAGGTTCCCCAAGTCCGTCCAGCTCGACTGCGTGGTCGGCCCATTTTTCGGACCCTTTTCTCATCCAGAAAGGAAAGTCACCACGCAAATGTCCCCACGGAAGCAAACGCAGTCATCTCACTTCTTGCTAAGAGGCTTCTGAGAAATAATCAAAGCCCTTTCGATGTGAGCTCCTCCTAGAGAAACTGAATCTCTTAGTTGATATTGAAGTTTCTGTGTATTGTTTAGCTTTGAGGTTTGTTCGCTATTGTTTTGCAGGGTTTGTTGGTTTTTTTTTTTTTTAATTTTTTTTGTCTGTTTGTTTCAGGAAAAAATTATAAAGAGCCCACAGTGTGCTTAGATCTGGAAGCTGAAGACCTCCAAATGCCAAAGCCCCTGCCGCTCGCCAGAGGCTCCCCCCTCTCCCTCCCCACCAGCCCGGCCTGGCTCCCCTCCATAAAGTTCAAGCATCTCTCTTCTGTGTCTCCTTTTTATTTACCTGTTAGATCAAGAAGGTCCACCACTGCTCGGGTAAGGTTAGCAGCATCAAAAAGAAAGGCAGAGGCCGTGCAAACTCTTGGGGACAGGTCCATGCCTCACGTTCCAAAGTCAGGCTCACCACAGGCAGCAAGAGCGGCCTGCAGCACACACTTCCTCCCACAGGCAGATGCCGGCCTGGAAAAGTAGAGAGGGCCCTGCTCAAACTTGACCTACAGGAGAAAGCCGGGGGCGGGGGTGTCGTCCACATCCTGTGGCGCTGACCTCAGGCTGAAGCCAAGCTGAGCTCCCCATCCCCATTCTTATACTGTTGAAATTTAACTGTTTTGTTTCTTCCAGTTTCTTTGGGATCCTCTTCTTGGGTGGAGAAATATTTCATGCGATTATGCTACCCAAACGTGCCTACAAGCAAAGATGGAGCTTTCCAGAGAGTTCCACTTCCCAAAGATAAATGGTGGACATTGCCAGCATTTTGACAGCACAGTAGGGACCTGTTAGGTTTGGGTGGCCCTGAACCAGGGTCCCTCACATCACACACAGCACACGATGATGCCATTTCCCTCTGGAAGGAATCAGATTCCCATAAGAAAGTTAAGAAACAAAAGCTGGAGGGAGGAATGGACTTGATGCCTTGCTTAGGGACCCAGGGTCTTGGGGTTGACTTTGAAGAGTGACAGACCCTAAGGAGAGGCCTCAAAGATAGCGGGTTAAGTTTTTGGCTCGGTTCATATTTGCTCCATGAAATGATTTGTCCAACGATTTTCTAAAGGGAGATGGAAACAGCAAAACAAAAACAAAACACAAAAACTCTACTTATGCATTTTCTAGACCCTTTATACCTTTTATCCGTGTTAAAACATCCATTTCCGGACAAATCGCAGAGGCCTGCCAGTCAGCCGGCCATTCATGTCAGTCTTGCTTATGGACATCTCTGCCCAGGAGAGGCTGGAGGGCGGGGTCACAGCCAGACTGGTCAGCACCTGCTTACTGCCGTCCACTGGGCAATGCTCTGGCTCTAAGCCCAATGCCCCTCTCTAACTCGCGCCCATTCTCTGAGTCCCTATCCAGTCAATTTTCCTACAAAAAGAAAAGCAGACACCCCTTTTTTCTTGTGGCAAAGGAGCCTTTGGGAATGAAATGAATCCCTAGGTACCGACTGGCATGTTCGATGTGTTCACAGTAGTGGCGGGCACTCTGGGGAACCAGGCAGCAGATTTCATGACCCAGCAAACACGTATGAAGCACTTGCTCTGGGCCTGAACCCCACTGAGCCCCAAGGATAGCAGAGTGAAGCAAACAGTGGCCTCTGCTCGTAGGGAGCCCTCAATCTGGCGGGGAAGATCATCAGCTCCCGCAAAATAAACGCGCAGACAAGCAGATAGATAAAACTGTGATTAAACTTTAATAAAACACATGGAATGATGAGAGCAAGAATATCTTGGACAGGCCAGCTTTAGCTCAGGAGTCCCTCAAGCTAGGATTTAAGGAGAGGCTCCCTTCTTGAGGCCCCACTGAGCCCTGCCCTTGAACCCAGGGAGAAAATTCAAAACCTTTTAAAGTGCCTTTGCTCTAGGTCTCTGCCACTAATAGAGCCTAGACCTCCTTCCCCTATATCCTACCATCCACCCAACATGGCCAACTCTACTTGTCTGTTTCCCATCTCAATAAATTCTGTCTCCCTTCTCCACTGCTCCTTGAAGAGCATCCTGACTCTTCCTTCTCCAGCACCGTCATGTCCAGTGAAGCCAGTCTCCCTCCTGAGCCCCTCGGGGAACTCTCTCCACGTGCACCCCTGCCACACCGACCAGTGTCACCTGCACCTTCCCAGGGGCCTGCAAACTGGCTCCCAGCTCCCCCTCTAGGGCCACAGCAGTAATTCTCTACACACGCTCAAAGTAATTTTTATCGAGTGAAAACCCCCTTCCCCTGCCACCCATTCGTGTCCATCTAAAATCCTTCAAATCTTCCCCGTGCTCTTCTCTCAAAATCC